AGACAGGTCTTACTCTGTCCCAGGCTAGAGTGCAGTGGCATAATCACAGCTCACTGCAGCCTCAACCTTCCCAGGCTCAGGTGATCCTCCCATCTCAACCCCCAAGTAGCTAGGATACAGGCATGCACTACCACATCAATTTTTGTATTTTTTGTAGAGATGGGGTTTTGACATGCTGCTAGTCTCAAACTCTTGGGCTCAAGCAATCTACCTACCTTAGCCTCCCAAAGTGCTGGGATTACAGGCGTAAGCAACCACACCCAACCTAGCTCTGTATCTTGATTGCAGAGGTGGTTACAGGAATTGACACAGGTGATAAAATGGCACAGAACTATACACAGGCATTGTAGAAAATCAATTTCTTAGTTTTGATACTGTACTACAGTAGTATAAAATGTAACTATTGAGGGAAATCGGGTGAAGCTGCCTAAAATGTAACCACTGGCGGAAACCAGACCTCTCTTTACTATTTTTGCAACTTCCAATGAACCTATATCAAAATAAAGCTAAAACAAAATAAATGGGAAGAGTTCATTTATATAGGGGGAAAAACATACTACAAAACCATAGAGTTAAAGCAGCATGATGTTAGAACAAGAACAAACCAACCAAAGAAAAGGATTCAATATTCAGAGTATATACGAGCACCTAATCCACAGTAAATGTGACACCACTATCTATGGGAAAAGGGAAGAAAGATGCCAGGAAAACTGGAAAGTATATGGAAAATCAACTGGATCACAAACCTGTGATACATAAAAAGTTAAACTCTGCATGTTTTAAAGACCAATAGATTTAAAAGAAAACTATGAACTTAGCAGTACATAACATAACAAAGAAATTTTGTGGCATAGCATTGGGGAAAGGCTTCTTAAACAAAACCTCCAAAATACAAACCATACAGCCAAAACATTTTTTAATTTGATTGTATCAAAACATAAGATTTCTGTTCAATGAAGAACATCATGAAAAAGATTACAGACAAATCACAGATTAGGAACAGATATAATACTTAAATGACTAGTATCTATGAAATCCAAGAAATGTTTGTAAATCAACAAGAGAGAATAGAAATCCCAAAATAAAAATGAGTGAAGGGATGAACAGGCAATTTCACAAAGAAAAAATTCAAAAAGATACAACATACATGAAGAAAATACTCAGATTCATTAGTATTAGTGAAATGTAATTTAAAATGAGATTTAATTTTGTATCTATTAGTCTGGAAAAATTGGAGCACTGAATAACACCAAGCATTTGTGGAGATACAAAGATACAGGAACTCTCACAAGCTTCCTGCAGGTGTACAGACCATTGCTGCTTGTTCTAAACACAATCTGGCAATGCTTCAATAAAATATATGAAAACCAAATAATCCAGAAATCACATTTGGATCTATAACTCAAGGAAAGTATCCCAGAGGTCTAAAGTGTATCCTTATCATGATGTTATCTATAATGGTATGAAAATGAAAATAGCATGGGTATCTACAAACAGGAGAGTAGACAGATAAACTGTAGTAGATGTACATTCTGAAATATTGTGCAGCACTTAGAAGAACAGCAACACAGTAGATCTTTAAAACAAGGTAGTGAGACAAAAAAACTTCATGAGATATATAGCATGATATGATCTCTAAAAAGTTAAAATGTGGGTGCCCAGAACAACATACATTTCATAACACACACGAACAGAAGAATACACATCGTACAGAATGGTTGCAAATGGGTTGATGAGCAAGAGAAAAGAGCAGGAATTAGAAATAAAAAACACTGAATGAGGCTGGCTGTGGTAGCTCATGCCTGTAGTCCCAGCATTTTGGTAGGCCAAGGTGGGTGGATGGCCTGAGGCCAGGAGTTCAAGACCAGCCTGACTAACACGGTAAAACCCCATCTCTACTAAAAATACAAAAAAAAAAAAATTTCTATTTTTAGTAGAGATGGGGTTTCACCATTCTCCTGCCTTAGGCTCCCTAGTAGCTAGGATTACAGACGTGGGCTTGGTGGGTGAATGAATGAAAAATGCAGGCAGGGGAGATGCCTTGAACATCCCAAAGATGATGATTGAATTCAGTAAGATTAAGTCAATCCTCTGCACCTGAAGTCCAAAATGAACTTTAAGGATGCATACATCTAACATACATCACACCACTAAAGCTAAATGTCATCCCACCCTTCTCATGAAGAAAGCACAAAACAAGCTCACTCCTTTTAAGATTTTCGATGCTAAGTATGTTACATGGAGAAACCACTCGATTTCCTTTAACTTCAAAACAGAACTTATATCCAAGATAAAAGGAAACTGTAAGATACAAAACCTCCAAAATTTAAGTTACTACCCCCAAAATTTAAGTTAAATTCTTACAGTGATATTCAAACCAAGCCAAGCCCAGTCCCTTCAATTCAACCAGTCAACAAGATCATTTAAAATTTAGCTACAGGTGGCAATAAGAAAAAATAAAGGGCATACTCTCATTTTTCTCTGCAAATGTTTCTCTGAAACACTCTTAAAATAAGGATTGGCAGTAAAACAAATGAGTTTCTCTACCATAATCCCTAATTGACATTAATAATAAAGCATTAATTATATTTATACTGGTTCATTTTCCCAACTTATAATAACTACTATGTTTTGTTCTGGACGGAACTAGGCAGTTTTTTATTCTTTCTAATAATGCAGGCATTTCAACACATATGTCCACTTTTAAGCTGACCTCCATACAGTCACGAGTTTGCTTACAAAGCAAGAAGCAAACGCAAACTAAAATTTCTGTTTAACAGAATGTCAAAAACTCAGTTAATTTATTTCATACAACAGGCACTTCCTGCAACCTTGCCCATAAAATCCTAAGGCGTAAACATCTGAAAGAGTCAGCTTGCCTCTTCTCTCATGGCAAACATTATATTAAAAGGAAACTGTAGCTGCCACTGACTAAACCCTAAAATCAGCAGCATCAACAGCATTCGTGCAGCCTGTGATGCAACGGTAGCTTCCCTAGTTTCAGACTATATATAACCCAGCAAATTCTACCTGAAAAACTGACATACCAAATGAGTCAAAACCATAAAACGACAATTTTTGAATCAAAGGTAGGGTAGTGCTGACTTCAAGCATAGCTTCAGAACGCTAGGACGCCTCAGTAAGTGAACGGGAGTGACTGGAATCCGCTCAGACAAGTACTAGGGCAAAGGGAGCTGGCAGGTGGCATCTCAAAAATGAAATTCTAACAGTGGTGTCAGTACCTTGGGCATGGGCAAGACTAATACCAACAGGTAAGGAAAGACTATAGGAACCCCAAAAGCAAGCACATCGCCCGAAATTGCTGTCAGTAACCACCCATGATCATCAACCACCTGATCCCGTTTAGACTGTGACTGGGACACAGGCAGTCTCAAAAGCAAAGCAACTGTCACAAATAGCAAATATCACTCGCCAGGCGAGGGAGCCCCAAAGACCCCCGGCGGGCCCCCAAGCTCTTGGTTACGGCGCCTAACTGTGGGCCCGACCTGCAGGCGAAGCAAGGAGCAGAGCTTGCAGCCGCAGAGTTCTGACAGCTGGCACCGCCCCCGGCTAAAGCGGGATTGTGACCTTTGACCCCCGACCCCCGACCTCCACGGTGCAGACGCATCCAGCCGTGGGGTTTCTCACCCGGAGGCTTGAAAGCCCCCTTACCTGTCACAGCTTCATCTCATGCCGCGATGTAGTCTATCAGACGGCCGGTGGGCGCCCCAGCCAAGGAGGACAAGGATAGGGCGGAACTACCGAGGATGCGGGGTGTGCAGATCCGGCTGGGGTAACCTCTGGAGCGGTAAGCGCTACCGGCCGCCGTCTCCCGACTGAGACTGCAAGGTGCCGGTGCCGCCGCCGCTGCAGTAAATCAGCTGACACCAGCCCCAACTGCCGTGACTTTCCCTGCAACTGTCGCAAAAATGAGGGGGCGGGAAAGACTCACCATTTCCCTACATGCACGGCATAAGCTGGCGCAGAGAGAGCCGGCCGCGTTACCATGGAGACAGAAGGCGGAGAAAGGGTCAGCTGTGGGCAAGGATTGCACGGCCTCCATTTTTCTTGCGGGAAGTCTGGTCTAGGCTGTCCTGTCGCCTCTAACACCCATGTTGGGAGGACCAAGATGGAGCGAAGGATGAAGTAGCAACCGTTATTAGGTCTTTCTTGGAACTGGGACGTTGCAAGTTTACACTTCTCTCCCCATGGCTCGGCCCAGACGCCTGGAAATGTCAGTTGCAGTTTCCTTTTTGCCTCTGAACTTAACTGTTGCCCGGCACACAGAGGGCAAGACATAGAAGAACTCTGCCACTCCACTAGAGGAAGTCTGACCTTGTGCAATACTCCTGCAGAGGAAGGGGGATGAATATACTCTCTCCGTCTGGGCGGCAAAGAGTAGTGGAATGTGAGCTCTGCCTTCAGAGAGGCAGTATATTCAGATCCCGGTTCCTCCACTGCACACCATTAGTGTCGTCTTGGGCATTTTGCTGCTGCTTCATTCTCTTCTAAATTTCCTCACTTGCAAAATAGGGATAATAACCTGTGGATGTCTAGGAAATTAAGCAAGCTTAATAAATGTTAATAACTTATGCCTGCCCATCTTCTGCTCAAATATGGGTTGAATAAATGAATGAATGGCAACCAAGGGGAAAGCAAGTGCCATGCTGTGGCCAATAGTCAGTTCTGTTAAAAAGATACAAAAGATGTTCATCCCATGGCCTTTTTTTCTTTACAGGCTCACTAGTTGATTTATAGGTTAAGTCTGAATCCTGTTGCAGTCATCAAAAGTTATGGTGTACGTATACCAATAACCTGGGAATCTTGTTAAAATAAGTTTCTGAATCAGTAGATCTGGGGTGAGTTCTGAGATTCTCCATTTCTAACATGCTTCCAGGTAATGTCCATGACTACTTGTCCTTGGAAAATACCTTGCATAGCTAAATCCTACTAGGCACAGGGCCTGGAGTATAGGATAACAGAACAGAACAGGGCAGAATCAGCTCTTTCAGACAGGATAGTTTCCTTGCTAATTTGCCAAACGTATGCTGAATGTTGGTTTGGTCAAAAGGCTTCCTCTCAACAATTTGTTGTTTGTGCTAATGGCAAACCACTACCTGTCCTTCTTTCCAGTATGGACATCTTCCCCCAGCAACACATCAAGACCCATCAGTGTCCTGGGTTGCTTACCTCTTGTCCCTTCACTCTGCATTCAACTACTGTACTGTACTGTATTGTTTCTTATATATGGTTTCTGTTTATTTGTAGAGACCAGCTCTGATGCTACCATAATGAAAAAAACTAAATCATAATGACCAGAGAAGTCAATAGAACTTGAAAATCAGTAATTCTAAAATTTTCTCATACTGCAAATTGGAATTCTATGCTTTTCTTCTACTTTTGACTAACTGCCTTACAATCAATCACATGAGTAGAGGGGGAAGAATGATGCTGAATAGAAGAAATTGATTCCTCAACCAGCTGACTTCAGTATACTCACTCCCTCTGTTGTGATGATGAATACATTTACACCATTAAGTTCATAATCCTTTTTACAATTTATAAGAACTTTTCTGAAACATGGGAAGCACAGAGTGGTTATCCCAGGATAATCTTAGGCTACCTTATATCTTGTTGGGTTTGTGATGGAAATATATAGGATATCTTTCCTAGATAAAGACTCTTAATTCAACAAATATTTATTGAATGCTTACTATAAGTTTCAAATACCTTCCTAAAAATGCAAAGGTTAATAGGAAGATTAATGAGAAACTCTCAGAGAAGTACCACTCTAGCCACTCTCTACCAAGTTTATAAAAGTTATTGACAAAGTCTATAGGTTTATGGAATCTCCTGAGCCACAGAGCTAAAATAAATATTCAAATATTAATGAATAAAATGCTCTAGTTCAGAAAATTCACACATTTACACACACACACACACACACACACACACACACACACCTTTTTTACATATAACCTTCTGAAAATTTGTATTAAGATTTGTATCTTCAGTAAGCTGACCTTCAGTATATTTATCCGAATAAATTATTTATTCCTTTCATCTAGAAGAACTATACAAAAATCTTAACAGATTTAACTAATTAAAAATTCAGTTCAGACTGAATGCAGTGGCTTGTGCCTGTAATCACAGCACTTTGGGAGGCTGAGGTGGGCAGGTCACAAGATCAGGAGTTTGAGACCAGCCTGAACATGGTGAAACCTCATGTCTACTAAAAACATAAAAAAATTAGCCGGGCATGGTGGCATGGGCCTGTAATCCCAGCTACTTGGGAGGCTGAGGCAGGAGAATTGTTTGAACTCGGGGGGATGGAGGTTGCAGTGAACCAAGATTGTGCCACTGCATTCCACCTGGGTGACAGAGCAAGACTCC